CAGAAGGACCTGAGTTCAAACCTGATCTCAGAGTGACTCTGGTCAAGTCACTTAACCCCAATCGCCTCACCAAAAAAAAAAAAAAAGCAGTTTAAGTACCAGTACCAAGGATCTACTTTGCCTTGGAGCAAGAATTGTGGGGGGCACGAGATCCCCCAAATAGGCAAATAGGTTAGGCAGGTGGGCTCCCCAGTGATGAAGCTCCTCTTCTGTCAAGCAACGAAGATCCATGGCTTTCTATTTTACCCCGTGGAGGTGTGGTAGACCAGCAGGTCCACTCCATGCTTGCTATAACCACATTCATCATACCAGGAAATGAACTTGACAAAAATGGTCATTAAGAACATCAGCAATACCATCATCAGCATCCATGGTAGAAGAGTGGCTGTCACTGACAAAAGCCTAAGATGCAATCTGGTCCTCTGTGTAGCCCAAGATGGCCTTTGAGAGACTCTTGGATACTTGCTTCACCACTTTCTTGACATCATATTTGGTGGGGCAGATTCACAGTACGTACGCTGAGTATAGGAACACAGAGGACCATATGACTGAGCTTCACATTCAGCTTAGGGATGATGCTGTCCAAAACCTTGGTAGCACCAGTGGAAACAGAGATGATGTTTTGGGCAGCACCACACCCATAAAACTTGCTAGAGGCACCAACTGTGCCTCCAGTCGTCCTGATTTATATCCAGTCACTGGACCCAGATGGCTCTGGAGGAGAAAGTGAGGCTGGTGACTTTGTACAGTCCTGCCTCACTTAAATCCAAATCACTTGCAAGTCATGGCATCACCTTCCTGATGTCATGGTCCTCTTTGAGAACAAAAGACAAACAACAACCTGTGAGTAGTATGAGCTGCCTCCCTGGGGACCTGACTGGCTAGTTCCAGTTGGACAATAAAGCTACTCCCTTCCCTGCTCTACCCTCCCCTCCTTTCTCCTTTCCTCTTCTTTTTCCTTTCCTCCTTCCTCTCTCTCTGCCCACACAGAGTATCATACCCTTACTAGGAGGTGCTCTGCCCAAAGGAATGTAAATTTTAATCTCTGAAACCTCACAAGATATCTTGGAGTTTATAGGCTAGATTTCTTTCTTAAGGACCATGCCTTAAACCCAATTCACTCTGGCTCTCATTGATTGGCCAACAATAGGTCCCAGTCCAAGTCTATTTAGTAGTCATTATTTAGGCCCTGATTGGTTCAGAATAAATGTAAATAGCAATTGTTTCTATTTTGGCCAGAAACCCTAAGGATCTTCCCCTCCCAGACTGATTTTTTTTTTAACTAGGTAAGAGGCCATTCTTTGTCTTATTTCTTACCTAGCCTTAATCACTGAATGGGTGTTGCCTCAGTCAAACTGAGATCTGTTAAAGACCTTGGCCGAGGTCTACAACTGCATCCAGGGCCATTTCCAATTGTCCTGATCTATATCGTGCCATTGGACCCAGATGTCTCCGGAGGAGAAAGTGAGTCTGGTGACTCTGCAAAACCCTCCCTCACTTAAATCCAATTCACTTGCAAGTCACCTTCTTGATGCCATGGTTGTCTTCCAGAACAAAGGACAAACAACAACAAATAACCTATGAGAAGCACCATCTACTATCTTCTGGTAGTAGTAATGATACAGACCATAGTCATGAGTCCTTCTCCAAAGTTGTCATGGATGACCTTGCCAAGGAGTTGGTAGTTCAGGAGGCAACTGACAACTGACAATCTTGGGTGATTTCAATTAACATTCTTCAGAGACTCAGAGCCACACAACACCAAACAATTATTGTTCAGCCTATGATAGAGGCTGGAACACATGGAAAAACTGCCGAATGCAAGGATGTTGAAAATGGCCTTCCATGAAATAGCAGTGGCCCCACAACTGTTCCTGGGGTCAGCTAGTTTCATGAATTTTTGTTTTAGAAACACAGGGAGTGATTGGAAACTCAAATACTTCCATTGTCCATTTACATCCTTTTCTCTGTCTTCCCTAAACCTGAAGAAACAGAAAAGGTAATGAAGAAAAATCTGTTTGACTTCCACTTAGCATGAGCCATAGGTGCAGCTCTTACACTGATTTAAGGGGAAACAATCCAGCTCTTCTTTTCTCATTGCCAGAACCAGCACTTGGCTTCCCCCAATTCCCCAGACATAGACGGTATTGCTTGGTGGTTACACAAGTATTTAAACATGCTTTCATGGTTTATACTGCCTACATCAGTTTCATGGAGCTACTGCTACTGTCACCCTGGGAAGAATGACTTTTGAAGACAAGCAACCAGATGGTGCCAACTGAATAGGATAGTGTCACTGGTTTTCAGAGGTGGAAGACAAATGTGAGGAAACAATGGGAGAGGAGGGAAGAAAGTATGAAGTGAAGAGGAGAGAGAAAAGATGGAAGGTACTGTCAGCAAGCAAATTAGCACAGTTCCATCCTCTGGCCATGAACGCTGAGTGTGTAGAGCTTCATTCCTATTCAAATCACACCTCATTAATTCAGTCCATGTTTATCTTTATACTCCTGCAGTTATAACACTGCAGTGGACACAGATGGCTCTGCATTACAAACAAATCCATGACCTTGTAAACCAACCTGCAGTGCCTTCTGGGGGAAAAGGAGACAGAAGGAAAGAATAACAATCTAGAGAGAATACAAGCAAAAACCCCTCCAAATGCACTTTTAGCTAAGTGCCAGCTACCAACTAAAATCTTTCACTGCTGAATTTATAAAGAGAATTTACGTGTTAAATGTCAATGAGGAGGAAAGACACTAATATTTTCTCTGAGGATGAGTGAATTTCTCTATAATTTACAGCAAGAAACACCACCTCCCTAGAAATGAAATAAATCACACTACTTGATGCACATAGAACTGGGGAAATACACATCAGTTAGAATACAGAACTAAGTTATAAAATTTGTGATTAATAAGCACCATTTACTTGGTACACAAAACATATGTCCAGCTATATAATTAGCCATTTATTTCCATTTCAAATGCCTGATATGAACAAACCACCAATATAGATAACAGGTTCCTTCCAAAAGGAAGCCCTAAATAACCCAACCAGCTTCCCAACAATAGTTAAACCTTCAGGACCAGAGAAAGTAGCATCAAGTTGATCACAGTCATTGTAAAACAAAAGCCAAGAAGAATTGCTTTGGGCTAACAACAGATTTTTATATTAAGAAGCACAATCTATCTTTTCTCTTTCTCCACATACTTCAATACTTTGGGTGAAGGAAGAAATAAGACAAAGAGAGAGTTTTCAAGTGACCATACTTCATATAGCATCTTCAAATAGTAGAGTAATTATCCAATGGAAAATTCCCTTTTCCTTTCTGTACTTTTCCTTCTTTTCCCATGCTGTCCAAATAAGCTGTATAATGCCTTCATATGGTTTTAAGCACTTGTGATATTACAAAGATCTTTAATAAACCTGATACAACTTAACTCAAGGCCAAGGCTCCTGTCTACACTTTTCAGCTCTGCTTCCTATTACTCTTGCCAACGTTGACTCAATCTAGATGACACTCTCTATCATTGTGAGGCTATATCAAGTCTTACAAGAAACCATACACATAACGTGGATGTTGGCTCTATACTTGTGTGTGTGTGTGTGTCTGTCTGTCTCTCTATCTGTCTGTCTGTGTTTGGTGGGGTAGGAAGGGGGGAAAAGAGGAATACTAATCCAGATAAATGTTTTCTGGTTAGATTAGAACAAAAAAGTAAGACAAAACAAAACAAAACTTTTCCCCTGATTCACTAGTCAAAAACATTATGTGCAAAATTTCAAAACGAATTATAAGCTGAGTTTTCACCCAATGCTGAACAAAAACCTGGTCAACATATTAACTCACTCCTAGACTCCTAAAATTATTTATTTGGGAGTTTTTAAAGGAGTATTGACATTAAACTAGAGAATGTGAGTCTTTCATTTGAAAGTGGGAGAAATATTTCCCTACCAGTCTTCACTCTACTTAACATCTCTGCTGCTTTTAACATTCTTGCTTACTTTCTACTCTTGCTTAATCCTCTCTCCTCCTTTGGTTTCTGTGATACTGTTCTTTCCTGGTTCTCCCACACCTCGTTTTGTTAAATTATTGTCTATCCCTTATCCCCTGGGCTTGGGTATATGCCAAGCCTCCATCCCAGGACCTCTTGTCTCCTTTCTCTACCTTGGGGGCCTAATCCACTCCCTTGGATTAAATTACTATCTCTACACAGATGTCTTCTAGCCTAGTATTATCTCTACATAGCCTATATATTACCATGTATACAGACTAATTTTTTCCCCTAAACACCAGTTTTGCACTGCCATCTATCTGCCTGCTAAGCATCTCCAACTCCCATTGGTGAGTGTCTACAAGTTGACAAGTACAAAACCAGACTCATCATCTTATCCCCTAAACTTACCCCTTCTCTGAATTGTTCTTTGAATTTGGCATTCCATCTCAGACGTCCATGTCTCTAAATGTATTCCTTGCTCATCTCCACCTCTCAGAATCCTTATCTTCTTTCAAAATAAGGCACAACTCTGATTCTGCAACCTCCTCTGAAACCTTCCCTGAACTCTATACATCCCCAAGTTATTATGCAGTCTCCCTGCCCAAATCACTTTCTATTCTCCTTATGTGTGTATGTATGCATGTATGTATATATACATACACATACATATATATAATAACAACAATACATATATACATATATATCTAGATAGATAGGTAGATAATGTTGTCTTCTCTTACATAAAGTAGGCTCCTTGACAGCAGGCACTATCTTGTTTTATGTTTAGTGTAATATCTTACACATAGTAGGTGCTTTAATTAAAATGGAATTGAGTCACCAGATCATTTTAAACTCCTGTCAGATTCTTGGGAAAGTCAGAAAGTGAAGGGGATAGACAGAACACTTTAACCTGCCATCTCACACACAGCAACACACTTTCTAACAAACAGAAAAAAACCAAGATGCTTCCACCCCTTTTGCTTTTTGATTCTGAAGAGTACTAACCTAAAATGCAGAGAATGCCATCGGGCTGAGACTTGCTGCTTTGGGTCAGGATACTTTGAATTTGACGAAGTCGGCTGCAACTACAAAAAAGAAGAAAAAAGCATTCAATGATACTAGACCACACAATGAGGATGATGACATGGATTCAGGTCCTGATTCAAATTTCAGACACTGCACTTTAAAAAGGATACAAAGCCATTGCAAAATACAGAAAAATGAAAGATTCTAAAAGGGATAAAATATAGGTTCAATAAGTAAAAACATGACTTAATTATTATTTTTATTACTATAAAGAAAGTTAAGCGGTATTAGGTCTGCCCAGTGTGATAATTGTGATTAAAAAAAAAATACATTGTTTGATGTTTTAGTATAAGTAACAAGACTCCAATATAAAGTCACTTAGGCTAAGTAGTCCTAATGACCATAAACTATACACTATGACAGCCTGTACTTTTCCATTGTCCTGACTCATTCTGACCCTAATTGAAGCTCTTGATTAGAGGAGGCTACCAGCCACTATAGCAGCCGCACACTGACACCCATTTACCAATACACCCATTTACCCAATTGCCAATCTGAATACTCATCCAATTTCTGGTCCCAATTAGGAAATTTATCTACCCAAATATAGTATCAATAAGTGATCTGGCTAATCTCCCTACCACATCTGGGTTAGATTAGGAACGATCCCTCCCATATCTGACATCAACTACCTATTATCAATCAAGCCTATACTAAAGGTGTTTTGGCCCCACTCTAAGCATGTTCTCCCACCATCTGCCTCATGTAAATGACCATGGCTCTGCATGGCCAAATCTCTGTGTTACCATATAGCATATGTGTGTGCACTTTAGTTTTTGCCTGCTTGCTGTACTGCATGGTAATAAAGCTCATCCTTGTACTAGTTTCCTGAGGACCAATTTTCCAGAACTAAATCCTAGAACTAGGATCTTGGCTCTAACCTGGACCTTGAGGCAAAATAAAGTATCTAGAAATGAGAAGAGCAGGTTAAAAGGAGTGTATTAGTTGGTACTGATGAAAGAAAAGCAGAAAGAAGTACTGATAAAATACTTTTAAAAATACACAGAAGTGCTATGAGAAGTGAGGAATACAGAAAAGTATAGGAAGAATTGTATGAATTGATACAAAGTGAAGTTAGTAGATTTTGGAAAAATAAAATAGAAAATGACTGTGACAATCTTAGGGGAAAGAACAACAATAACAAAACAACTGAAACTAAATGCTGCAAGATTATACTGACCAAACTTGGCCCCAAAGAAGATATAGGAGAAGATGTAGGTGATTATAGATGTGGAACACTGCATAGGTCAGGCTTTTTTAATATGTTGGTTAGTTCTGCTAAGTTTTGCTAGGCTGTTTTTTTTAATCTTTTTTATTTTTTCTTATAAGGGATGGCTCTCTGGAAGAGGGAAAAGGATATAATGGGAAATGTAGGTCATAGAAAAAGCTATTAATAAAGATTATTTTTTAAAGTATGCAAAAGAAAAGAAAAAAATATTCTGAAGGGGACACATGGAAATTTTATTACTATCATGTTCAATTTAATCCTTTCGTAAAAAAAAACTATACATAAAACAAGTTCATAGTTACATGCAATGTTATTTTCAGCATAGTCAAAGGCTGTTTGTTGGCTATTAAATTCATAATAAAAAAGAAAATTAAATTCAACAAGGGGTTAAATGAGGTCTTGGCTATGTTTAGTAAAAAGTAATGATGGAAAAAAAAAGTAATGATGGGTTACCATTTCCACTAAGAATCACACTTTTTGATATCTCCCATCTCAATGTTTCAGTCAGCCTGATTCTATGTATCTAGTTTTTTATGTATCTAGTTTTTTAAGATAAATTTTGACTGAGATCTTCTGTTTTATGTCACCAGTATTATCTTGAAACTGACTGAAAGTCTTTAGAATCTAGGGACAAAATTTTTCTTGATTTTTTTCCTGAAATAAGGGGAAAGACCAACGGATGGATAAATGATCAAAGTATATGAACAAAGAGCTCTCAAAAGAAGAATTACAATTCACAACGATATGAAAAAAACTACTCCAAATCACTAACAACAAATTAAAATCAAAATAACTTTTGATACACTGTTGGTAGAGCTGTAAATTTGGCCTATCCAAAAAGTGACTAAAACGTCCACATTCTTTTACCCAAAGATCCCATCGTTGGGGGCCAAGTTGTGAAAGGCTTTATATTCAGTTAGTCAATATGTGTTTATAAGCATTTATGAGGTGCCTACTATGTGTTAGGTACTGTACTAAGTATGCCCCACCTCACCCTGCAATACAAAGAGAGGCCTTTAAAGAGTTCACATTTTATATGGCAATAGAGAAGAACTAATATTTAAAAGCTTACACAGTATAACTACTCAAGGAATAAGCAGCTACTACTGACTTTTTCCTTTTTCAAAAATAGTAATTATCCTCAAACCCATTCTTTTAAACCT